TGGGATCGAGCCGTGCATCACCAGGAATTTTTCGCTCATCAAGCCTCCTCGGGCGAAGGATGGTCCATGCCGCCATCGTTCTTGTGCACTTTTCGGTGTCTCCTTAGGTTGGAGACAACAGAGAAATGACGTCCACAGCCATCCACTTCGCACGCAAATGCTATTGTCCATGTTAGAATCATTGAATCTCCCGTTTTTTGGGGTTCACTCGTAGAATTAGACTTACGCTTCTCTCCAGTGTGGCTGTACATGTGCGTTTGCAACGAACTTGGGCGGGTGAACCTCTTGTCGCAAATCTTGCACTTGTGCTTCTTCTGCGAGCTCGACGAAACCTTGGAGCTGAACTGGCCCATCATGGATTGCGGGGCCGGAGGCATGCTTGCGCCCAGCAATGCGTTTGGGCGGGGAAGGGTTCGCGAGCTGGCCAAGTCGACGGACTCGGAGGCGGAGCTGTAGTCGGTCACGGAGCCGTCTCCAGCGTAGTAGCCATTCGCACCATAGCTGGCCGAGGATATCGACGAGTGTGCGGAATGTGTCGACGGGAAGCCATACGAATCGGTCGAGCTGCGGCTGGTGCCGTGGGAGCCGTAGATGTTTCTTGGGGTGATGTCAGATTGGCTGAGGGAGACCATGCCGCGACTGGCATCCAGGGCGTCGCTAAAACTGGTGCGGGGTGGCTGTGCGTTCATTCTGCAAAAGTCAACTAGTGCACTTTGGCGTTGCCTCTGTGAATCCGTGGATTCACAGAATGCAAAGGAGGGGACTGACGAATGTGAAGACCGGCGAGAGGCATCCTGCTGGTATGCGTATTGGCTGCTCTCTGCCGTGCCATATTCCACCTGAGTGTAGGGAGCCGATGTGGGGGCATACGTTTGGTTGTTGGGAGACGCGGACGAGGCATAACCATAACTTCGCGACAGGAGATCTTGAGAAGCATCGAGTAAGTTTGTGGTCGCGAAGTTGCCATCCGGGAGAATAATACCTTGTCCCATGGGAGGGGCTGTGATGGGTATGCCATGGTAGGGAATGGCAATGCTCGTAGGCCTTTGCTCGAGTCCAGCAGAGACGGCGGGCGAGACTGAGGTCGAGTACATTTGCTGTTGCGGGGGTGCGGCGGATACCCATGGGTTGGTGAAGTGTGGTGCTGGTGCTGGATAGCGCATGTGTTCGTAGCCCAGACCGTTGAGCTGGGACTGTTGACGATTGTCGACGGCCATTGCCATTGTGGTGGAGGTATGGTGGTGTGGGATTGGGTGAGGGAGGGGGAGGGGGCGGCGGGGGGTGACGGGGTTGAGGTTGCAGAGGAACAAAGGAAGAGAGAGATGTGACACAGGCGGACACACTATAGAGGCAGATCGGAGGATTGAAACAGATAGTTCGAGGGTCGAAAACGTGGAGAACAGTCGATCACAGGTACGCAGCGGTGGGATCTGCGAGCTTATGAACTTGAGTCTGACACTGGGGACACCCGTCGTATGGTAGACCAAGTCGAGCAAGGATAGTCGTCGAGGTATGCCGATCTGTTCAGGTGTACTAAGCCAGGAGCCGTGGCGATGAACCAGCGAAATGAGGTGTAGGGCAGCGCGGACACCAGTGACGGAGTGGCAGGCGCTCGAGCGTTTCAAGTGCAGGACAGCAGTGTGGAGAAGCTCCTCTGTCGAGCGGGTGCAGGGAGGGACCCGTGAGCGGCTGGGTTGCGTGTCGTGGTGGTCAATGTCGGCCAACGTTATTCGCTTGCACGCGGCAGACCAAGAGCAAAGCGGCAATGATCTGACGGCAGCCCCAGGGCGATTCAAGTGAGGATGGCCGTGTAGGCTGAGGAAGCAGTGCGGCTGGTTAAAAGATGGTTTCGAATTGAGGCCAGCTTAAGCAAGTAGGTATAGTAGGTATAGTAGGTACTATAGAGAGCCACTATGATGTATACACAGGCTGGGATATGGAGAGCAGGTGAATAGGAGGATGAAGGATGGAGGGTGGATGGATGTAGATCAGTAGGTAGTTAGAGAGGAGGTTGAGAGAGAGAGAGAGAGAAGAGAGATAAAAAGAAGCTACAACCGAAGGGGATACAGCTGGTTGATAAATTTCCGGTTGGATGAAAGGCGTCTACGTACGTACGTCGACGGGATGTTCTTGGGCTCACAGGAACTCCTCTCTTTCTCTCTCGCTCTTTCACTCACACACACCACACACTCTCTCTCTCTCTCTGTTCTGTGTGTGGCATCATAGGCTGGCAGCCAAGGCTGGGAAGAGAGCAGTGCAGGGCCCCTCCCTCCCTCCATGATCCATCCATCCATCCCTCCCCTCCCACCCCGGCCACACTACGTCGGTGCAGCACAGGGTTCATGCGCCACTAGAGCACACCGTGGAGGGCTGCTTTTGCGCGTGTGGGGAGAACAGTGCGCGGCGGGCCATGAGTAAATTGTCGTCCAAGCCGTGCGTGGTGCTCTGCTGGCTGCTGGCTGCTGGTGCTCCCCAAGCGGACAGAGTCTACCCACAACTGGCCTCAACACCAGGGAGGGTTGGCGCAAGCCTCTACCGCTGTTTGCTGTGCGCTATCGTCGGCAGCTTTCACAGCCGTGAGAGCCCGGTGCGCTCGCCAGTCCACAAGACAGTGCCCAGTGCCCACTTTGCCCCAAGCCGTGACCAATATGCTAGCAGCGCAGTCACCGGTACGTAGTAGTAGTAGTAGTAGTTAGTAGTAGTAGTAGTAGTTAGTAGTAGTAGTAGTCC